AATATTGTCATCTTCACAGATTCAATGTCTGCCCTTCAAGCTCTGGAGGGCAATGAACGCTGCAGAACTGACATAGCCAAGATAATCCTGGATGCCGATCAGCTTATTACCTCATACAACATCAGAATAGTGAGGCAGTGGATTCCAGGTCACTCCGGCACACCAGGTAATGACAGAGCTGACAGATTGGCAAAGAAAGGAGCAACACAAGAACAACCACCTACAGCGACAACCCTCCAGACAGCAAAAACACTGATAAGAGCTATAAACAAAGAGACTTGGTTGAACAGATGGGCCATGGGAGACACTGGAAGAGAGGTTTATAGACATATGTCTGGCCCTGATCCTAATGACAGCATTAACCATCTAACAAGAAGGGACCAGGCCACCATCTTCAGACTTAGAACGCAACATACTCCACTCAATGGACACCTAAACAGAATACAGCCACAACACTCCCCAGAGTGCCAGCTATGTAACTACCCCTACGAAACTGTTGAACACCATCTCTTTGAGTGCCCAAAACTCAGTGAGACAAGAAGAACGCTACTCCCTCCGAGACCAGACAAGTGGAACACCTTGTACGGAGGAAAAGAACAGCTTGTGAAAACATGCAAATTCCACTACATGGCATTGGGCCAAAGGGCGAAAGCTCATGCGCCGCTGGATCGATAACAACAACAACAACAGTCACATGTACAGACACCAACATATGCCCAAAACCACACATTTACATTTATATGAATACATACACCCACATACATGTATACATATATTCACACATACATACATACATACATACATACATTATACATAAACTCACATCTTTACACACATACATACATACCTAAATATGCTTTCATATATCCACATGCATACACACACAATCACACACACATGCATACTTGCATGCTTTTATAAATACACAAACACACACATACCTACACAGCCACATATACCTGCATACACCCACATTATACATAAATATACACACACATACAATCACATACTTACACAGCTACATTTACATTCATACATTCTCATACATACAGACATACATAATACATACATGCACCTACATACATATACGCACACATATACACATCCACATGTATACATACATACAGGGGCTAAATCTGCATGCATAATAATACAAACATACATCAACATACATATACAAACATAAAACACACACATCTATTTACATAGACATACATGCGCACACACACACACACACATCCATACATACACACATCAAAACATACACTCACATACTTACAAACATACATACATACTTGCAAACACACATAAATTCACACACATACTTACACAGATACATATGCATACATACATCCACCAACATGCATACAAACACACATACATGCATACACACACACACATATAACATACATACACACATATGCATGCATACAGACATAAATAATCACACAAACAGACACCCTCATACAAACATTCACTTATATATGCCTGCATATGACAGAAGAATAAGAAGTAGAAAAGATGTTCTTAGCTGCATATGGACCTAAAAACTGTTCGTATTCTCTTCTGTTATTTCCTACCCTCCCGTTGATAAACAGTAATGGAAACTAAAATACTTTGTTTGACCATTTTAAGCGCCAAAATGTTTTGCAGAGAACATTAATGAAGGGTTTGGTTTCTGGAGTAAGAGATGGGTATTACCTGTTCATGTGATTGTAATCATTTGTTTTTTTGGTGGGTAATTCTTGTTTTATTCAGCTTTTGGTTCAAGATATTTAATTGTATCTGTGTTTGTCTTTTTCCTTTTTATGGTAAAAAAGTAATGACAGTAAGTGAACATCTTTTCTACTTCTTATTCTTCTGTCATTTATCCCCGAGTAGAGCATATGTCTTTAAACAAATGATGTCCATTTATCCTGTCGTTGGTATTGCATGCACCTCACCTTCTTTTTAACATTACTCTCCCACTCCCCCTTTACCTGTGTTATTTTTTAGTCTGCTTTTACTTTTGTACTCCTTTGGGTTCTAGTGTAAAGACATTCTTTTTATATTGTTCTTAAGCTTTCTGTATCCTAACCATCACCAGTGTCTTTTCAGCACCTGTTGATTTACTTGAATTTGTTTAGTTATCTCCCAAATCTCAACATTAGTGATTCTGTCATACGATTTAGTTCCCTCTTTTTAGTTTTTTTTTTTTTGCACAGGGGCCAGTTAATGAATGTTTGTAGCTTGTTTATAATTCTTTGTTGTCTCCAAAGTAAAATGACCACACACACAAAAACCTACCACAACTATCTTCATTCTTTTATAATCATCTTTATAAATGTACTAGCTGAACCCGGCCACGCGTTGCTGTGGCATAGTTTGGCTAAATGAAAATGATAAAAAATAGAAATCGCACGTGTCTAATACAACCATTGTCTGCTCAGATATAGAGATAGTCTTTGATCCCTGCCCCCCCCCCCCCCCCCCCCCCACCACAACTAAATCCACCTACTACTATCTCCCTCATCAAAGGTTTTTGGAAAAGAAAGACAATGGAAATCGCACGTGTCTAATATAGTTAATGTCGCAATCATTTTCTGCACACATATAGAGATAGTCTGGTTTTCCAACTTTAGAACACGCACCTTATAATTGTGTCTTTATATTAGTGGTCGTTTAAATGGTGTTATTAGCGCAGTAACAAAAATGGTTATTTGGTTATCACATGCTAAAGCTGTTTGTATTTTTATAGGGGACGGAAGTAAAGCTACAACTGTACTTGTGAATAACAAAGTAAGTCGTAAAAAATAGAAAAGCGGAGGTAGCGTTAGTAAAATATAAACAAATTAGGTAATGAGAACTTGAAAATCATGTGTAAAGCTCTTTAAGTTCTCTTAAATTTAAGTCATTACCCCCTCCCCTCTTCCACCGACTACTGCTCTCTCCCTCTCCGAAGGATTTGAAAATCATTACCTGGCAATATTTTGTTGTTGCCATAACTGACATTGACATCATTGTCCATCCGGACTAAAATGGGGAGCAGGAATTGTAATAGGTAGTGAATGGGGCTAGTGTAATATTTACCACATCATCATTCAAGTACCAGTACAACTACTACCACGACCACCACCACAGTTGCTAAAATAATGTCACTGCTTTCTGTTTTACCATCGGAGTAGACAGAGAGTCGTGAGCCAGAAGATTTGGTTCCGCATGGCTAGTGCTGTCGCCACAGACTGGTCAGGTTAGGATCTAAATTTCACTTGCCGACAGAAGAACGCCATAACCTTACCAGCGGTCTTCACATGAGAGCACTATGGTGTAACAGCCCAACCACAACTATTACTGCTGCTGCTACTTTAAGTGGGTAAAGCAGTTACTGTGACTTAAAGCTCTCTCAGTTAATAGTTCCCCCCCCCCCCCCCCCCCCCCCCCCCCCCCCCCCCCCCCCCCGTAAATTCACCGACAACTCTTTCCCTCATTGAAGTAGTTGGGAGAAAAATAAAAACACTTAAAAAGCAAATGAACACAGGAAAAAAACACCATAATTAGGAAATGAACGCTATGGTAAACAGCACAGCTTAAAAGTCCAACGCAGATGAAATAACTAAATCTAAATGAAAATAAATGGAAAGCTATGAAATTTCAGCGTAACCATGCAATCGGAAAGTTTAAAAATGCAATCATAAGTATGTGAAATGGTCAAATTTAATTATCAAATGGTTTACCCATTTACTTGTCTATTTTTTTTTCAAGTATTAAGGGCAACATTGCTAGTGCTGTCACCACGACAGAGCAGATGAGGATATTATTTTAGTCCGGGGTAAAAAAAAAAAATTAACTACTGCGGATTTGAACCCTGGTCTCCCGCACGGGAACCCAGTGTTCTAACCATTCGACCAAGCAGCCACTTAATCGGAGCAACGAAAAGAGAACTTAACTATTAGAGATGTGTGTCCCTACTACTGTGTCCCGATTATAACACAACTCAAAACCGCAGGCAATTGTTTTCTCGTAGACAGATACTCCAGATATATTAATGAAATGGCACAACAATAGAAATCGCACGTGTCTAACACGGTTAATGAAGTTAATGTCGCAGTCAATGTTTGCGGCGACGTCGAGATAGTCCTTGATGCCTCCCCTCCTCCCCCCCCCCCCCCCCCCCCCCCCCCCATCGAAGGTTGTTTGAAAAAAAAAACAGAAAATAGAAATCGTGTTTAATATGGTTATTGTGGCAAATATAGAGATAGTCTTGTTTGCTGTACCACGACCTACTCTATGTATTAGAGAAGGTGTTGGCTGCACGTAACTCGCCGGCGAATGGTGGAAGCCTTGCGTTCTGACTACGGCGCATGCGCAATTACTAACGTGTCTATAATTAGAAATCACTAAAATTATAAATATTAGTTTCAAATTTTATGGCATAAATTGTCGCAAACTATCTCTAACAATGATAGGTTGAATTTCAAACCATGATGGTTCAACATCCGGTATCAAAACAAACATATCCTGAAAATTTCAGCTAAATCGGTTCAGTAGTTTCCGAGTCTATAGGGGATAAACAAACACACAAACATTGATTTTTATATATATATATATATATATATATATATATATATATATATATATATATATACTTGTGTTAACAGAATGAACAGGCAGACGGATTGCCTGGTTCTGCACCAGTCGGTAGTATATTTATGCATGACAAGATAGATGTGGTCAAGGCCCTTTGAGAACAAGTGAACAATGTAGAGACACACATAGATCATTTTGGTGTGGAGAGAATGGTACAGCTGTGAGTGACTAGGGATCCAGTCAACATTCTATACACTCAGAGGAAAAGCAAGATAGACATATAATCAGACTGCTAATGGCACCATTGGAATTGGAACTTTTGCTGGCTGCTGAAGATAAGGATGGATTGATTATGGGAATGCCTTGTGGTCAGTCTTTAGTGCAGTTCTGTATACTTATGGTAATTTTCATGGTTTTATTCTGGCAGATAATAAATGCTTGCTGTGACCACTCTGCTTCCGACCCCGCCTATGGCATCCCAAGATGGCAGCTGGCACTGGATGGTTGTTGTTGCAGCATTTTTCACCCAATTCATCGTCTGTGGAATCACCTACAGCCTGGGTGTCTTCCATGTGATCTTTAAGGACATGTTCAATGAGACACACTTTGACACCTCATGGATTGGATCAATTCTACTTTACGTGACTGCTTTATCAAGTAAGTGTGTTTTTGTATGAATGTCAGTATAACTGATCTGTTTCTAACTTGTGCTAAAGTCATGAACCCTTTCACCCGTGAATGCTAAAACAAGGCTGGGTCTCCATGAAAACGAGAGTCGAGCACTCTTACTGCTCAGCAGGCTGCACCTCAAATTGTTAATCAATACCGCAAAAAACTACAAACTGATCAACGTTAGAATGGATAACCTGCATCTTTGCCCCCCAATGAACAGCTGTAAACTGATTAGTGTTAATATTGACATTCATTATTACACATAATACACATAGCTATAAACTGATACATTTTAAGATAAAGTACAAACATCTTTGCATATAATAATTTGCTATATATTGATTAATGTTAACATTGAGTCCCAAAGAACATATCATGTGCTAATTGGTTACTACCCAGCCACCGTGCGACGTGTACAAGTATTTAATTTACCAGTTTAAAAAGGCGAACAACAGAATTGAAACTTCCCCGTGTGGGTTCCGGGGCCCTGTTATAGGGAAAATAGGATTGACCCACTGCCTACCTAAAAGCATGTTGTAAAAATTGACAAATTGGGAGCTTCCTTCAAAGTCGAGGTGCATCTGCCTGAGAGGCAAGGAACCAACAGTCTGCAAACAAATGAGTCAAAACTGTAAAATGGATGCACAAGCAACACTTAGATTCTGGAACAGGACTGCAGTCCAGAAGTGGACGAACAACCAGAACTTTCCACCAGAGTTTACAGCTGGTGAACACGAAAAAGAAGAAGACAATTGAAACTTCCTCTCCAGTTCTTTGTGTTTGATAACACACGTATTGACCATCAGATTTATTTGGAAACAAGGTTAAAAACCTAAAATATTGCATGTTTGCAAGGCTTACCAAGTTACTTAGTGTTTGGAAACAATATGACCACCGAACAGTATACTACATGCATGCCAGCAGGATTTACAGATTAAGAAGTCTCAGATTTAAATAAAACACGTGTTTGTCACATTTACCAAAGTTTGATGGAGAAAGTAGACTTGTTTCAGTCATTTATAGTGAAAATTTGATGAGGGATAACTCTGATATGTGCCTCGTGCAAATCCTACAATGATAGTAAAGTCAGCTGGCATAAAGAAAAAATATCCATTGGTAAAAAAGGCAATTTTCTTCAGTGACAGTTAGTTCTTGTGCTATTCCCCTTATTATTTAGAAACATAGCTAGAAAATTACACATAAATTGAGTGTTTTGTAAACCTAATTTTGTGTGAAGATATTAATTGTTTTGTTAGTCAGTTTTCTTTACCAAATAACGATACTCTGTTATAAAGCTGTGAGATCAAATGTACAGATTGAACTTATGTTTTTGCTTATACAGTACTGAGTGGTTCATGTTCATTTGTGATTCATTTTGGATATATTTTAACTCGTTTTCCTAGTGGTGGTAAGTTGAAGCATTATTATTTCATTTTACTAATTTCATTAAACATGTCGTCTGTTTAACTACTAACTACTAATATTTAACTACTGGCACAATTATTTGTTGTTCTAATAATATTCCTCAACAATCCCTGGTCTCTTTGATGTATAATACGTGTATGTTGCGCAGCTATCTTTGGCCTGAATAAATAACTATAAACTGATGGTTAGTTGCAAATGCTTTACAGGACGTTGCAGAACCAACCCCAATAGCTCCTAGCTGTTGTGTGGTAAATTTATGTCCAGTACTTTGCCATTGCTTTCTGGACGTTCGGCTTTCTTGATACCACTGTCAAAACCAACGCAAGGCGCATAGCCCGCAGCTGGGATCGAACCTGGCATCCCGGCATTACGAAGCGTTTGCATCGACTTAGCCACAGAGCCGACATAAACTGATGACTATTCACAATAATAACTGACATTTTTCATCATCATCTTTATAAACCACTTCTGCCATTGAGTGTCAAAGGGAGAGATAATTTGCGATCTAGTGGTTGGCACTGGGTATTGTCATGCTGTGAATGCATAAAATGTCTTTCATGTTTGCAATCCATATTTTTCGTTGCCATCCCCTTGCTCTTGTAGCTGATCTTTTGAGATGTAGTGCCTGTGGAGATATTTGATGTTGCTGCATTTAAACGAGATGTCCAAAGCACTTGATCTGCTGTTCCTCGGTGAATCGTTTATAAGGTGTTGTTCCCACAGTTTGTCTGTTAGTATCAATATTCACTTGTTTTTTTTGGATGGTTAGGTTGGAAATTCATGCACATCTCATCTCGCAACATACATCTTTGCCCCAAATAAATTATTTCTTTTTATAGTCTGTGTCATGTGGCACTGGTCGTCATGTCTGTTCAGCCATCTGTCCTGTGTGTGCTGTCAGTCATTTCTGCTGTCGATGTTTCTTTATGCTCTGATGCCAGACTTTTTAACATCTTCTCTCTTGGTGTTCCCCTGAATATTTCTCTTCCCTTCCAGCTGTATTGTTGTCATGATGTACTCCAGTTTTTCCCTTTTTTGAATCAGCAAAAGGATGCAGAATATTTGCTTTTTCCCATGTCAACAGCTCTCGTTGTTAATTATTATCTTTATTCCATTTGATACCTAACTGACCATGGAATTCATATCACTCTGTTGTTAACCCTTTTGCCTCTGGAAGGCTAAACAAAAAAAGGGGAGTCCCCCCCCCCCCCCCCCCCAAAAAAAAAAAATTTTTTTTGCAAAGAACAAATATATATCATAATTATAATCATCATCATAAACCACTTCTGCCATTAAGTGTCATGGCTGCCACTGGCTATTATCATCCTGGGAAGGCGTCCTATTGATCTTGTAGTTGACCTTGCTGCATTCTAGCGAGATGACCAAACTGCTTGATCTGCTGTTTCTCCATGAATCTAGTGCAAGGTGCCATTCCCACAGTCTGTCTGACAGTATCATTACTCACTCAGTCTCGGATGGCTAGGTTGGCGACTTTTCTTAGGCATCTCATCTGGCAATTGGTGATTTTGCGTATGGGCTTAAGATGTGTCCATGTTTGGCACTGGTAGCTTAAGTATATATCAAATGTGATTAATACATTTTGAACACTGTTATTTATGTACATTTAAAAAAAAATTTTTTTTTAATATTTTGAATTAGTGCTTCATTATGTATCTTCCAAGACTGTGAAACTTCTTTCGAAACCCATAAGCCACAGGTGCTCTATCTGATAAACAAAAAAATAACATCTTCCCAGAGAGAACATGTCAAAAAGAGAGACATTAAAATTATTGTGACTACAGAAAAGCAGAAGAAAATGTATAAATATTAAAATGTAGTTTTACTTTTCCTCACTGTTTTCCTCCAAAGGCGTCATGTTACGCTTCGTCACAGTCTACTTTGGGCCTCGTGTGAGTGTCATGTTGGGCGGCCTTCTAGCCTCTGCAGGCCTGGGCCTGTCTATGCTAGCACAGAGGCTGTTACACCTTTATCTCAGTTTTGGGCTCTTAACAGGTGAGTAAACTGTTGTTGTTTTGGTCACTTGGTTTTATTGTCTGCCTTTAAAAAATAAGTCTTCTTCTTCTCTTCCACCTTGTACCTCATCGAAGTGTCGGGGGAGATGTAATGTGTTCGTTGATGAGCTCTGTCAAGAGCACTATTAAGACTGATGTTCATTTCTGTAAGGCTGTTCTTAATGCTATCACTCCATCTTTTCCGAGGTCTTCCACTCGCTCTAAACCGGTTGTAACGTTTTAGTGTGGCTTGCTGTGGTGGATAGTACCAGGGCATTCTTGTTAGGTGTCCAAACCACTTCATTTTTTGTTCTTTGATGACCTGTAAGACTGGCTTTATTCCTAGCATTCATCTGATTTCGTATTCTGTCTTTTCTTGAAACTCCTGCAGCTCTTCTAAGGCATTTCATCTCTGTTGTCACAATTTTACGTTAATTGGAGGATGTAAGTGTCCACATTTGGTATTGATAGCATAGTGCTGGCCAAAAAATAGTTATGATAAAATTCACTTTAGTACTCCGAGGTATCTGCTTGTGTGTCAGCAGGGAATAAAAAAATAAAAAAAATAAGTAAAATATTGTTGGTTGGATCTCCTGAATGTCTCCACATAAAGTAAGTTTGAAGTTAAATATTGTTTGTTGGCTCTCCTTTTGTGTGTGTGGATATTTCAAATTTTCTTTTTAAATCCTGTGTCATTAGTTACATTAGTTGCTTTCTACTTGACCCATTTATGATATTAATATTTAAATTGGATCTCCTGAATGTCTCTACATAAAGTAAAAGTAAAATATTGTTGGTTGGATCTCTTGAATGTCTCCACATAAAGTGCGAGTAAAGTAAACTATTCTTGTTTGGATCTTCTGAATGTCTCCACAAAAAGTAAGAATGAAGTAAAATATTGTTGGTTGGTCTCCTGATATCATTGTCTCCACATAAAGTAAAAATAAAATATTGTTGGTTGGATCTCCTGATATCATTGTCTCCACATAAAGTAAAAATAAAATATTGTTGGTTGGATCTCCTGATCCCCACACAAAGTAAAAGTACACAAAATTTTATTAACTGTGAAATTCATGTGGTACGTTTTTTTTTCTGTTGTGCCTGAGGTGTGTTGTTGACTGCACTAAAATGGTGGGTGGCTGATCGTGTTTCATAATTGACCATTTGCGCCAACAGTGAGCTGCAACTCTGATGCGGGACCATTAGTATTTTTGCAGCTATCTTATGCATTTTTACTTTGCATGTGTAAGCTTCAAGATGTTGCCAGGACTGACAAGTTTTTCACTGGTTTTCAAATGGGGGCAGTGACAGAATTTTGTGGGATATCCACCGGCACAGGAAGGGAGCAGTTACGAGGCGACCCACCTGTAGTTATGTTGGATCCTCGACTAATGACTAATCTGTTTTATGAATTCTTCCATGTTTCAATAATTGTTTAATATCAACAGGTCTGGGTTTTGGACTGGCTTGCACCCCATCTATTGTAGCCATTGAGAGGTACTTCATACACCAGCGATTCCAGGCTCTGAGTATTGTTGTTGCAGGAATCGGAGCTGGCATTGTGACTTTTCCCATGCTGATTCGCCTGCTTGTTGAACTCTTCGCCTGGAGGGGAGCCATGCTTGTTCTGTCAGGAATCACCTTGAACTTGTGCGTCTGTGGCATGGTCATGAAACCGACACGACATGACAAGGAGATGAGACTGATGCCAATGCTGTCGTGCTTCCCCCTGCGGCACCCCATATTTATAGGCATGTGCTTGGCAAATTTATTCTGGAGTTTCGGCTCAACTGTCATTTACATGTATCTTCCGTCATATGCTATGGCTGAAGGTACCTCCTTTGAAACATCTGTGTTCTTGGTGTCATGTATTGGCATCTGTAGTTTTGCTAGTCGCATTATTTTTGCATTTTTGGGTCCAAATGGTACCTTGGATGATGTGACTTCGGCCTTGTGTCCAATCATGCTAGGAGTAGTGGTGACTGGAATAGCTCCTTTGCTGTTTAATGACTACTCTGGGCAGATCAGTTATGCAGTTCTCTTTGGATATTACTCTGGATTCTGGACTACATTCTTGTCTCAGGTGTCCAGGGAGCTGCTTGGTCCCGAGTATATTGCAATGGGAAATGGTTACCTCTCGTTTATGATTGCTTTCGGCTCCCTAGCAGGAGGACCTCTCACAGGTAAGATACTGATCATTATCACAGTCACTCATTTTCTTTGTGCTGTTATATTTGTATGTTAAGTAAACTGTTTTTTTTTTAAATTCATGGACTCAATCTAGAAGGTTTACACTAGATGCCCAAAGAAAATAAAGATCGGGCAAGCCTTAGAAAAGCATCTCACCTCCGAATACTTCAGTGAGGTAGCTACAGAAACACAAGGAGGACGAGGAGAAGCCCACAGGGGATGGGACAGTAACCACAAAATAAACCCCAAAAAATCCTGAAAAGAATGCCTTTAGAGAGAATCTGTTCACTTAAGTCATACACTGTTGCATATTTAAGTAAACAGAAATCCCCTGAGAAGTAAAGGTAGTCTAAAAGGAGATGCGATCTCATATGAGGAACTGACCAGGGCTGATGTACAGAATGCCTTCTTAGAGGCGGCTCAGTTAAACGAATTAAGTCATGATTGTAAATCTGCAACACTGATAAGACTACACGAACATAACATCAAAAGGGGTGAAGCCTGATAAGAGTGCTATACAGGGGACCAAAGAAGAACAGTAAACCAACACAGAACTAGTGTTATAAGCCACTACACGCTGAGGGAGATACTGAAGAGGGGATCTGATCACTTATGTACTGAATGGTTTGATGTGCGATGATGATAATCTGTCAACTAGCTAACCTTTGGGATGTGAAAAGTCAGCTGTTCACACATTCTAGGCCATAACCTTTGGGGTGTGCAAAGTCTGCTGTTCACACATTCTAGGCCATAACCTTTGGGGTGTGCAAAGTCTGCTGTTCACACATTCTAGGCCATAACCTTTGGGGTGTGCAAAGTCTGCTGTTCACACATTCTAGGCCATAACCTTTGGGGTGGGATGGCTAGCTCCCTTCCTCATCGTATTTCCTTCTCAGAACATTCTGGAAATTATCAACTTTCAGTGTGTGTGTCTATAATAATGATATTAGAAGGACTGCTTCTGCTCCAGAGTCACATGTGAGGATAGGCTGACATTGAGAAAGCATACCAATAAGGCAGCAGCCAAAGCCAGGAGCAAGGCAGCTATACTGGGACAGTGTAACCAGATGGGCAGCCAGGGGGAAAATACTCACATTCAGAGCATACAGCCACACTTGGCATAGCATTCAGCATCAGATACCACATTAAAACAACCAAAAGCTTAGTCACCACAGAGGGGTCGAAATCAACCTCCATAGTCTTCTTCTTTCTTTGCTTGAAATAGATTATCTATATCTGCAGTGCTGTCTCTAGTATGAACTTCCCTGTCTTTTGTAATTTGCTCAGTGAGCTGTAAAGTTTTATTTGCACCAATGTTTCTCTTGGCCACAAGTTTTGCCTTGATATGTTGTATTTGGGACAGTCTTGGAGGACATTATTTGTTGTCTCAGGTGTCAGTCCACATGTGCACATGTCTGGTTCAACTATTTTAAATTTTGTGTACATGTTGCTGCGAAGTCGATTTTGTCCTGTTCTAAGGCGTAGAATAATAACTTGCTCTGGTCTGTCCATAAAACGGTAATCCTCTTGTGCCAGTTTTGGTGGCTTTCTGATCGATTTGATTATTCTCTTCTTTTGTTGATAAGAGACATCAGGTTGTTCTTCATTTGCACCTTCCTTAGCTAGTTCATCAGCTCTCTCATTTCCAGGAACTCCACAGTGGGATGGTATCTATTCCATAGTTATCTTACACCGACTGCCTAGTTTGGAGAGTAGTATTCATATACCAGGTATTTTGGCAGATTGGAGTGCTTGCATCTGTCAGAAATACCACGGGTTGTGAAATATGATGTATATTTAACAGTTTCTCTGCTGCTATTTTGACGGCTTGAACTTCTGCATCATAGATGTGTGACAGTGCTTTCCTGTAGATTAGTCTCATTACTTAATTGTCAGACCTTGTAGATTTCAAAATCTAACAGTGGATCGTTTAAAAGAAGCAACTTTACACACTAAGCCGGAATACTCAGACAAACCATTGACCTTCCTGAAATCGGTAGTTCACTGAAACAAAAAAAAAAAAAAAAAAGGATTACAAACTACCAATACACATCTGGACAAATTTGAAAGAAATATTTGATGAGGAAAAAACAAGATCGTACGCAATGTAGAACTGTAGAACAGCCAGTCTTAACTACATTGATAAAGAATACCCAGTGTCTTTGAGCATATATACAGATGGGTCAGCACAAAACACAGTTAGAAATGGAGGTGTGGGAGTGTACATAAAATACCAGCTGCCTGTGAGAGCCACACAGAAAAAATATAATCAACTCAGAGGGAAGACCACACAAAATATGGAACAACAGCTTCATCAGCAGCCCTAATGAAATGAATCAGCTTGGACAAAACTTTAGGAAGAACACACACAAGATCATTACATCTCTCCTACACCTTGCTGAGATAACTTGAGAAGAATAAGAACAAGAACTCTCCCGAGGGGGTACATTAAACATTTAAATCTGTATGTTACATATGATTCGCTGAATACTTTAGTCAAGTTATTTAAAAACACATCTTGTACTCTTCATGCCCCAAAGAGTTTGGGGAAGTTAACATTCTGAAACAAGTGACAATTTTCAGCCAAGTGACCCTTACACTGATTTCAGGCATGTTATGAGGAGAACAACTTCAAAACTTGGTGGCAATTAACAAACTTGATGGAAATTGAGGAATGAGGGAGACAAAGAGAAAAATTGTGTGGATGTCCTGTCCCCATGGCTTGGGCTGAACAAGATTGATCTGATCTCTGCTTTCCCTGTGTTAATTCCTGGGGCCCCGTTGTTGGGGGGTGGGGGGTTGGATAGACCCTCTGGCCTCTCCCAGTAAGAATGTCAAAGGAGGCAACAAGAGTCTAGCCTCTTCTGGCATATAAAGGGACCTTTACTTTCTTAAAGAAGAGGTGACTATTTGGGATGTTTCCTTCAAAGTCAGAGAGTGCATCTGCTTGAGAAGCGAGGAATTTACAGTCTACATAAAAAAAGAAACAAAAAAAAGCCCGATCTGTAAAATGAATCTTCTAGAACAAGACAAAAGTCCAAAAGTGGATTTAAAAAAACCAGACCTTTCCAACAGTTTACAGCCTGTAAGAAGATGCAGCATTCTCTTAATTGTGTCAGACTGTGACCCAGAACTGCCTTTGTTTTACTCCCATGACATGTGATGTTGATGATTTTCAAAACTGAATAATTGAAAATAATGTTCAATGTACATTTGTGAAAACATTCCCAATCATTGAAATCTTATTTGCAGGGCTACTGTTGCAGCCTGAAAATGATTTTAAATTTGCCTTCTACTTGGCTGGTGAGTCATTGTTGTGTTTTCTTTACAAATTATTAGATATCAGAACCATATAATATCGCCCCAGAGTTCTGCAGTTTCACCAGTGCTCTTCAGTGTGTATACAAGCAAGATTGCAGAATTTGAAGAAGACAAAGTTCTTCATGAAGCCCTGGGTAGAGCTAAGGGTCACAGACTGAAAAGAGGAAAGTTTTAGATGGCGCAAGCTGAAGACACAATTGGATAGTGTGCAGGCTTGATAAATTTAGGCGAGGAGAGGAGTGGGTCAAAGTGTTAGATCAGGTTTCAGACTTATGTAGGGTTCTAATCACTTTAGGACGTGAGTGCAGTGATTGGTCAGCTGGTGCTGCAGAATCATAAGCTCAACAAATGATTCATGACAATTCCCGCCCAAGTGATGTGATTGTCTATACAGATAGCACTATGTTGAAGGGCAGAAGAAGTGCACAGGGGTTCATAGAGAAGGCAAATGGACTTCGCTTGGTGCAACAAAGCCTTGCAAATGATATCACAACGTCTAGTTTGAGAATGGAGATGGAGGCAGTCACTGCTGCCTTCCGCTGGCTTGGGAATCAGCTGTACACACATGTCGTCATTGTAACTGACTCACAGAGCATGTTGAGAAAGGTGGAGACAGGCATGCTCCGTGCAGAGTGGCAAGCATCACATTAAAGTTCCTGGGTAGTTAGCATCCTTTGGATATTTTTTCCAGGTCATGCTTTTGTGTTGGGAAATTAGCAGGCAGATAGACGGCCAGTTCTGCACCACATATTGGTGAACTGATGTTTGACAAGCTGGATGTTGTGAAGGCCCTTTGGGAGCGAGTGAACAGGGCTGAAGCACAGATGGATCATGCGAGAATGGAGAATGGCACTGCAAGAAGGTACAAGGGGATCTAGCTGAAGCTCGACACTCAAGGGAAAGGCGAGACAGATATGCAATCAGACAGTTACTGGTATCATCAGATTTGGAACTCTTCGCTTGCTGCTGAAGATGGGGACGTAGCGCTTATGGGGGTGTCCCAAATGCTGTAATGTTGATTCTTAATTAAAAAATTCCCTTATCATTTGCTATTGAAAACTCATGAAAAAATTGTATCACATCTAAAAAATTTAAAACAATTCAGAAACTGACGCAAAAGCCACGCTGAACTTCATGTCGATAATTTTAGTTTTTCAAAACGTTCATACAAATTAATTTTTCCAAGCAAACGAAACAGCACTAGAGTGTTTCTATGATGCGCCATTATTGTGGCTAAAAGTCCGAAAGCAGTGGGTTCCAAAAGCCACTTTAATGGTGATTAGTCCAGAAAGAGTTAATAACAGTAAATCAAAAGAGAAGAAAACTGAGGTACCTGGGTATCATTTTCGATGGAAGCCTGTGCTATAGGGATCACGTGGAGGCAGTTGTTGTGAAATGCCAAAAAAAGGACTCAATGCTTTCAAGATTATGGCAGCAATGGACATGGAACAAAGAATGTTGTTCACAGTGTTCCAGAATGTGATCCTGTCAGTGATAGATTATGGACTTGGAATGCTTACCATATCAAAGAGTCAGCTGATGAAACTTGAACACATACAGAATGAAGCCATGCAGATAATTCTGGGATGTACAAGATATCCCGGTAGAATGTATGAAATATATACTTGCACTGCCTACTACTGCAGATAGGCTCAAAGTTCTGCAAACAAAGTCATATCTCAGAGTAGCTGCAGACGAGAAACAGCTCCTTCATGAAGCCCTGGGTAGAGCTAAGGATCACACACTGAAAAGGGAAAGGTCTTGGATGGCGCAGCCTGAAGAAACAATGTGTGCAGACTTGAAAAATTTAGGCAAGGAGAGGAGAAGGTCAAAGTGTAGGGTTATAATCACTTTAGGTCCTGAGTGCAGGGATTGGCCAGCTGTTGCTGCAGAATCAGAAGTACAACAAATGATTCATGACAATTCCCACCTTAGTGATATGATTACCTATACAGATGGCTCTGTGTTGAGGGGCAGACAAAGTTCATGGGGGTTCATAGCAAAAGTGAATGTACATCACTTAGTGCAGCAAAATTTGCCATATGATATCACAACATTTAGTTTGAGATTGGAGGTGGAGGTAGTCACTGCTGCCTTCCTCTGGCTTGAGAATCAGCTGAACACACATGTTGTGATTGTAACTGACTCACAGGGCATATTGAGAAAGGTGGAGACTAGCATGCTGCTTGCAGAGTGGCAAGCATCACTTCAGAGGTCCTGGGTAGTTAGCGTCCTTTAGATATTTTCCAGGTCCTGCTGTTTTATTGGAAAACAGGCATGCAGATGAATGGGCCAGTTCTGCAACATTTGGTAGTGAACTGATGTATGGCAAACTAGATGTTATGAGAGGCCTGTGGAGGGAGTGAACAGTGCAAATACACAGATAGATCATTATGGTCTGAGGAGAATGAGGAGTGACCAGTGGATCTATCCGGCGCTCAACACTCAAGGGAAAGGTGAGATGGACAGTTAATGGTACCATCGGAATTGGAACTCTTCGCTGCACTTAAATGGGTGTCATGAGTGCAGTGATGTGGATTTTTTAATTCAACATTCAGCCTTCAGACAATGAAAATATCAACCTGCCTAAAACCTTATATTTCATGTTATTAAAATTCAGACCCGTTCCATCCTTCTTTATCATCATCAACAAGAATATTTAGAATATTTCCTGGCCTTGTTTGTTAGATAAGCATGTAAGATAATGTACAGATTTAACATTTTCTTCTCTTGCAGGCCCAAACGTCTTGGGTTCAAGTCCACACCAAAACATGTTTTAAATAGCTGGCGTTTGATCTCCAGTGTCATTTACAATGTGTACAAGAAAGGTTGCCTGGAAGTAAAGGTTGACCACATCACCCATTGTGCTGATTGGTCTTTAAAAATGTGTACAAGGTGTACCGATACTAACCACACAGTGTACAAAAAATTTACTGGTACTAACCACACAGTGTACAAAAAATTTACCGGTACTATCCACACAGTGTACAAAAAATGTACCGGTACTAACCACACAGTGTACAAAAAATGTACCGGTACTATCCACACAGTGTACAAAAAAAATGTACCGGTACTAACCACACAGTGTACAATAAAATGTACCGGTACTAACCACACATTGTACAAAAAATGTACCGGTACTATCCACACAGTGTACAAAAAATGTACCGGTACTAACCACACATTGTACAAAAAATGTACCGGTACTATCCACACAGTGTACAAAAAATGTACCGGTACTAACCACACAGTGTACAAAAAAATGTACTGGTACTAACCACACAGTGTACAAAAAATGTACTGGTACTAACCACACAGTGTACAGAAAATGTACCGGTACTAACCACAAACTGTTAGAGTAACATTGAACCAATTGTGCCTTAAAGAGATGTACTTCCTACCACCATTTTAAAAAAAAATCCCTGGAAGAGGTTATTGAATGTAAAAAAAAAAAAAACAGTTAAGGCTGCATGATCTATGTCCACCTCAGATTAGAAAAGTAAACGCTTATGAAAAGAGAAAAAGAACAGAAGGTTTGCTAGTTACTTTACACCTTCAGGTAAAAAGAAAAAGACTTAACAACAATAGGAAAATAAATAAATCATAAATCAATTTATTCCTACAATTCAAGGCCAAAGATGATAAAAAGAAAAAAGGAAAGTTAAATTGTTGGATGAATCATCATGAGGACATAGTGAATGTTTATCTGTATTATTGAACATTCATTGTCTGGAAAACGTCTCTGAAATATTGCCAGTCGTATTTGATCACCATGGCCAGGGTGGTAGGAGAGCTTGTGTTTCCCAATGACCTTGACAGTAATCTAGCTACCAACAGGACCTCTGAAATCTTCAAAACCCAAACAATACATGATGTGTTCATTACTATTCCCCTTTTCAGCATCACATTAAGTGTCTTATTATATTTAAATTTTGGTCAGTGTATATTAAATAGACCTGGCAACCACAGATTAAACTTTCATTCATTTATCATTCCTACAACACAGCAAGGAGTTAGAATTTTCATGGCAGTGAAAACATTAATTATTTTTGTACAAAACCTGATGGGACCGAAAGAGTTAAGTTGGGCCAGTTAGAGTGTAGAGAACAGCCAAGAGAGATGGACACCTTAATCCTCCAGGTTTTGTGGGTGGGGGGGGGGGGGGGGGGGGGGGTGGGGCCAACACTCCTGTTATTGTAAAACCTCATTCTATCACAAAATATCTATTTAACTTTTAGAGTCCCAAGAAACACATACGTTCATAGGTTCCTACCTAGAAGCCCAATGAACGCAAGATGCGCTGATTTTTTGACTCTTTTTACTACCCCCTGGGCCTTTGATGCTAAACCCCCTGGGACTCAAAGAGTTAAGCCTAATTTTTAGGTGGAATTAATTGGATGTCAGTCCTACAATATTAACAGGCTTTTAAGATAACAGAGAGACCAAACACTGCACAGAAAAGGTGAAGAGTAGGCCATGAGGCAGACAGAGAAAACTGGGGTGAGATAATATCTAGGCAGACCTACAAACACTTGGAGTCACCAACTGGAAAGAGAAGGCCAGTCACAGAGATGACAGAAAGACAGTGCGCCAGTGACCTCAAGGGCTTGAATGTTGAACAAAAAGAAAACAAGAACAGGAAAATGACATTTCAACCTGAAACAAGAAAATAGTTACAAATATGTAAAAGCTTGTTAAAAACATGTTGGTACTGGTTTTTGTTTTTCTTCCCCATCAAGGTTAGTGGTTACAAATGACATTGAAGTAAAAACATAAGTGGTTAAAGAAGATGTTCAAGTATTCATGAGGTGCACTTTGGTAACGGTTACACGTTCACTCGAAAGACAGGGTTTTCTTATCTTCCACTAATCTATTGGATGAAAGAAGTGCTGAGAGTTTTTCCAGTAGAGCAGATGACTAGTTGAGCTAGAGGGTTAGGAAACTGTTCTGATACACTATCACACATGGTATGAGTCAAGAACTGACATAAAAAAACCATGCGGGAGACACCCGTCGTTACATCAACCAGAACAGATTGGGAGTCGTTAGCCTAAAACCACTTGGGGTCATACTCAGGAGGAGATTGGAGCATTTATGATCATGTCTCTTGTGCGATGAAGATGATCTCATAAATGAAGAATGAACAATGAACAAGAACTGACATCACATCACCTGGGTAATTCCCAAAAGTGCTCTGTCCCCATCTTTAACTGCCAGCATATAGTTCTAGTTCCACTATCAAAGATAAAATTTGTATGGCCAAGTCTCTGAGGTAAAAATAATAACAGTATAAATTGTCTGTCCAGGTGCCTTCAAATTTACATCAGGATGGCACCTAAAACAAACAAAAGTTATCGACCAGGTCTCCCAGCTTGGCCCAATCTAAAATGATTGCTAGGAAATGTCATAGGAAGGTAAATCGGCTATTGTGATGATGCCTACAACACATCTAGTGCCAATAGGTCTGTAAAAAATAAAAACGGGGAAAGGGGCTGGGGGGCTGTACCATCTGCCTGATGTGCAGATAGTTGTAAAAGTGCTCTTTATTTATGCTTGACGCAGCATTTTGGTTTCATCTTATCTTGACTGCATATCCTCTGTTACCATTTGTCTGTCTTTAGCTTTCTTTTTATATTGTTTTCATACATGCAGGTACTTGTCTGTTATACCCCCCTGCCTGTCGGTTTATATGTGCCTGTTGTTGATCATACTCCCAGGTACCTGTCTGTCTATATGTGTCTGTTGATCATAATTTCAAGTGCCTGCCTGTCTATATATGTCTTTTGATCATACTCCCAGGTACCTGTCTGTCTATATGTGTATGTTGATCATACTCCCAGGTGACTGTCTATATGTGTCTGTTGATCATACTCCCAGGTGCCTATCTGTCTATATGTGCCTGTTAATCATACTTCTAGGTGCCTGTCTGTCTATATGTGTCTGTTGATCATAATTCCAGGTGCCTGTCTGTCTATATATGTCTGTTGATCATACTCCCAGGTGCCTGTCTGTCTATATATGTCTGTTGATCATACTCCCAGGTGCCTGTCTGTCTATATGTGTCTATTGATCATACTGCCAGGTGCCTGTCTGTCTTGATGTGTTGGTTGATCATACTCCCAGGTGCCTGTCTATCTATATGTGTTTGTTAATCATACTCCCAGGTGCCTGTCTATGTGTGTGTGTTGATCATACTCCCAGGTGCCTGTCTGCATGTGTGTGTTGATCATACTCCCAGGTGCCTGTCTGTATGTGTCTGTTGATCATACTCCCAGGTGCCTGTCTGTATGTGTCTGTTGATCATACTCCCAGGTGCCTGTCTGTATGTGTCTGTTGATCATACTCCCAGGTGCCTGTCTGCATGTGTCTGTTGATCATACTCCCAGGTGCCTGTCTGTATGTGTCTGTTGATCATACTCCCAGGTGCCTGTCTGTATGTGTCTGTTGATCATACTCCCAGGTGCCTGTCTGTCTGTATGTGTCTGTTAATCATACTCCCAGGTGCCTGCCTGAATGTGTCTGTTGATCATACTCCCAGGTACCTGTCTGTCTATATGTGTCTGTTGATCATACTTCCAGGTACCTGTCTGTATGTGTCTGTTGATCATACTCCCAGGTGCCTGTCTGTATGTGTCTGTTGATCATACTCCCAGGTGCCTGCCTGTATGTGTTTGTTAATCATACTCCCAGGTGCCTGTCTATGTGTGTGTGTTGATCATACTCCCAGGTGCCTGTCTGCATGTGTGTGTTGATCATACTCCCAGGTGCCTGTCTGTATGTGTCTGTTGATCATACTCCCAGGTACCTGTCTGTCTATATGTGTCTGTTGATCATACTCCCAGGTACCTGTCTGTCTATATGTGTCTGTTGATCATACTCCCAGGTGCCTATCTGACTTTATGTGTCTGTTGATCATACTCCCAGGTGCCTGCCTGTATGTGTCTGTTGATCATACTCCCAGGTGCCTATCTGACTTTATGTGTGTTAATCATACTCCCAGGTGCCTGTCTATATGTGTCTGTTGATCATACTCCCAGGTGCCTGCCTGTATATGTCTGTTGATCATACTCCCAGGTACCTGTCTGTCTATATGTGTCTGTTGATCATACTCCCAGGTACCTGTCTGTCTATATGTGTCTGTTGATCATACTCCCAGGTACCTGTCTGTCTACATGTGTCTGTTGATCATACTCCCAGGTGCCTGTGTGTCTTTATGCGTCTGTTGATCATACTCCCTAGTGCCCGTCTATATGTGTGTGTTGATCATACTCCCAGGTGCCTGTCTACTATGCAGTTCTGTGATTATGGTCCTGTTCAAAATAAAGAGATGCAGGACCACCCTGGAAGCAGCCAGATATAAAGATGACAGCATGGACTTTGTGAAGGAGTCCCGGACCCGAGAGCAGCACGTGCCTCTGATACTTGAAGATGTCAACAAGGAGAGGAGGCTTTCTGTGTCGGGGCATGATGTTGTTGTGTGAGTACCAGTGCTTGCTGGGGGTTTGATCTGCATGTTGGCAATGTTTCTTGTGCGTCTGGCATGGTATTCTGTTTGTTTCTTCTAGAGTAATGGTTCCTTATTAGTTTTGACCTGTTGACCTCTTTTGTTTTTGAAGATCTGCCATTGACTCTACACTTTGTAATAGTCATGCTGAAGAACGTATCCTAATTTATAAATATTTAATCACTAACATAATCGCATTCTAAATTTGATTTTTTTTTTAATGATATTTTTGGATCCTTAAAATGTGTTCTATGGACCCCACTAGTCCACACACACCAGATAGAAAAGTCTCTTCATGAGTGTTGGTTATCATCATCTGATGCTTTGGTATGGCAGCTAATGCCTCAACACAACTCTCTTTTTCTAGCACTTGGTGTCCCTGACCTCTGACCGTGCCATGATGCCAGACTGACCAGTGTCTTCTCTCTGCAGTTTTCCTCTCTCTCTTTTCTCATTAATCTTACTCTTGCCACAATATGTTGTGGCTGTTCTTTTCTGTTTTACGAACTGAGTGGTTGGATGTGCTGTCAGAATGATCTGTCAACTAAATAACTATAAGGGGGTGCAAAGGTGTTTCTGTATGCCTTTTGTACTGGGTCTCTCTCGTACTTGCTTTGTTTGTAACCCACTTGGCCGTTGTCTAGGGGGTTCAGATCCACAGAGTAAACGAAGCAGGCTTCTCTTCCAACAAACTACCACACATCTCAGAAAGACAGTCAATGATGGTTGTTGTTAGTTCCAGCTTTATTCAGTGTCATTCAATATCATATCAGAGACAAACATGAACATAACAACCTCACTTAGGGCATCCAGGCAAAGTTCACTTGCTCACACCTTTGTCTATACAACCATGCCATGGTTGACACCGGCCTGCACATAGTCAACACAATCAACACTTCCGCAGTCCTCAGATACAATTCAACCTGGCTTTCCTACAACCATTTTATAGCCATTCAGGATCAACATTCACTTCGTTTCACTCATGGTCAACTTTCTGAACTCTCTGGGGTCTAATCACAGAATGACTCTGTCAGCAATTTCTCCCCAGACCTCTTGTTCACACGTGACTTCAACTATCCCATGTTTTTGCCGTTTCCACATTTATCTCATGTCTCTCACTCTAGGGACTTCCCCAATTCTGTCAGTCAGTCAACCCTTACGTTATACCTATTTATAGCCTCATTATAGGGGTTTTTATTTAAAAACGTTAAAGTGTGATAGAAATTACATTAACCATGCCATTGTTTTGTAATCTGTCAGTATTATTGTTAAGGATGTAAAGAGTGTTAAGCACTTGGTATCACAGTGCAGAAGAACAAAGTGGCGTTATAATGACAGTTTGAAGAAGGACAACCCACTTTTAACATCCAGCATAGAGGAGCAGCATTCTGCTTTCCATTTTTTGGGGGGTAATCAGTGAAGGGGTGAAACCTTTAGAAATTGATCAGTGAATGAATGTCTAGTACAGGCATTTTCTTTGTCACTCACGGTTTATGGACAGTTTTTTTGTATGAGGCCTTTAGCGGCTGCAGTCATCTGTGGGGTCACTACTTGGTATGCCTGACCCGTTGTGGACAGTCTGTCACAAAAGTTATTCTGTTTTAAAACTTCCTGCTTGATTCATACACTTACTGACCTGACAGGCACCATATTGAACCTTCTCCCATTTTGGGAGACACAAAAATAGGCTCACTGCCTCCCTAACAAGCAGGTAAAAGGCAAATAATTAGAGGTTTACTGAATTTGGCTGTGTTGGGCTGAAAAATGAGATATCACAACCTCACTGTAAACCACAACACAACATGCCAGCCTCCCTTTTAAGGTGAGTGCAGTTGAAGAAGCATTATAGAAATCAGATGTCATGGCTTCATTGGCATGTCATCAGATGTTGTGGCACATGATACTGAAGTAGTGGTCCCCATGAGTTGCTTATTGTGTTTTCAAGACATTTTTTAATGCAAATTTTTTTACAACTGCTAGTTTTTTTTTTTTTTTTGGTTCTCCATTGATTTCTTTAACTCTGTCGCCACCATGACCTAGAAAAAATCTAATGTTTTAGGAATTTCCTTTCAAAAAATAAAGACAGAACATTTTTATACAAGTCACAAGAAAAAAGCCAAAAATTATATTTATGAACAAAAAACAATATGTTAATTTCTATAAAAAGTATGAATGCAGCAGGTAACTAACAAACTTACCTCTCTTTGACCATTAAAACCGTTTATCTGTCGTGGAAAAGGTTTCTCTTTCACTTATTATGGTGGTGGGTGTGGGTTTAAATCCTCCCTCCTGATGCAAATGAGAAACCGAGATAGCTTACTTTTGATGCAAAGAGCAGACAGTGTCCCTGGATACTCAGATACAAACTCGAATTGGCTCATTAACTCTTTGAGTCCCAAGGAACGCATCATACGCTCATAGGTTCCTACTTTGAAGCCCAATGAACGCACAATGCGCCGATCTTATTACTTTCTTTACTACCCCCTGGGCCTGTGATGCTAAACCCTCTGGGACTCATAGAGTTAAAGAAAGTCAGCTGCCTGAATATCCCTAGAAGTGGATAAAGGGAAAAGCCTAGGGAACATTTACTAAATAAACAGTTAGACAGAACAGATTACCCCTCCTGACAATTTCCCTTTCTGGTCATTAAATCAAGCCCCTATCTAGAAGAGATATATTGATAGAGAGAACTAAGCTGACACAATACACATATCTACAAATACAATTCAACTAACTATGAATGTAAATTAATCATAGATGAGTTTATTAAATTAAAGTCAATACTGATAATCTTTTTACTTTTGAAATTCAATACTCAAATTAAAAAGATTTCATGAAGGATATAAATGATGGTCACATGAAACTGTCATCAAGAGAGAGTTAATGAGAATTTACTGTGGGACAAACAATTACCACCTTTGGTTTAATAGAGGAGCTTCCCCCTCACCCCCCCCCCCTTCTCTCTTTGATGTGGAAAGCTGGATGTGTCTCAATCACCAAGATCTTCCTCGGGGTACTTCAGTCATCACCTATCCTGAAAACAAAACCAGCATTTACTAAAACACAAGTAAACATCATGTATTTTAGAAGTATGAACATGAGAAGAGAACGTTTCCACTGAAATGTTACCCGTGAGTACATAAACCATGATAAAAATTCATAGATCATTTCTCTACATGCAGTAGTAGATGGATAATCTCCTAAAAGTCCTAGATACAATAAACAGGAATAGCACCCAAGATACAGAAAGATAGGAATCGTATCTCAAAGACCATTTCCAGACCCATGTGTCAGTGGCAGAAATGAATGCCTCGACATCTTTCCTCTATCCGGTACAGTTCTAATATTGTACATGAAGTACAGCTCCGAAAAGGAAATCATGATGTATGTAATCGTAACTGTGCTCAACTGGATGTAGATGTAACTATGTGGGGCGTTCAGCCATACCACTAGGTTTTTAGGCTGCTGGAAAGACAGAATCAAAGTTATCTTCCAAAACTGCACGCTCTATCTCCTGCTAGCCGCCGGAAGTGGATGATGATGATCCATGTACCACGTGATCTCAGTTTGTAGCCAGGTTTTTGCAAAAATATTGGCAAATTTGCTAGCAGCAAATTTTATATGTGAAAGTGCTGGGCACTGATTGGCACGCCGGGAAATTGCAGACAAAATGGGAATTTCCCAAACAGCAGCTGAATACCCATAGGGATAACCCTCTATGTCATCTCTGACAAAAATGACTCCACTCTTGATGTAGCCAAGAGGGAAAACTCAAAGGGTCAAAAGGGGTGGTACATTATTCAAGACATCGCTGTCTTGTGACATTATCCAGTGGCTTATACTTCTCCTAACCTGGTCTTCAGGGAACAGCTGTAACTAATGGGAAATTGTGATGTCATATTTTAAATTAAAAAGCCATTTATTCACAATAAAATTCCCTTTAAATGCTTTTTTTTTTTTTAGTAAATATAATCAACTTCAGTACTCCTAAGCATTTGCACAATCACATACAATGTCAGTGCTTGTAGTTATGCTTCTTAGCAACATGTCACTAAAGCAAGTCGGTAAAGTGACTTTTTCGGGAAATTGGACCTTATTGAAAGTAGAGGTTTTGTAGCTTCTTGGGGCGACAAGGTTAAGTTTGTAGTACACTTGGCTGCGGCTGTTTTGTTTTGGTAGAAACCAAATTATTAGAACATATTTATTTTTTTGCAGATGGTTTTAATTGTGAGTATTTAGTTTTCACATTATTTTGTTGGTGTTCTGTTTTTGTTGAGGTTTATGTTTCTTCACTGCATGCAGACCTAATGTTTGGGGGCAGGTTTCATCTTTTATGCTTTTTTTTACTGGTTTTATAGGCTATTGCAGTAAAACTTTAATTAATTACATTGAAATTGTGTCCTCTCTACAATAAAGGTTGGATGCAGTGCATTCACTGCTGTCTTTGAGAATATTACATGGAGATTCTCCAATCATTTAGTTACCATAGAAAATGTGACATGGAGATTCTCCAATCATTTAGTTACCATAGAAAATGTGACATGGGGATTCTCCAGACATTTAGTTCATAGAAAATGTGGCATAGGGGTTCTCCAGACATTTAGTTACCATAGAAAATGTTACATGGAGATTCTCCAGACATTTAGTAACCATAGAAAATGTTACATGGGGATTCTCCAGACTTTTAGTAACCATAGAAAATGTTACATGGGGATTCTCCAGACTTTTAGTAACCATAGAAAATGTTACATGGGGATTCTCCAGACTTTTAGTAACCATAGAAAATGTTACATGGGGATTCTCCAGACATTTACAAACCATAGAAAATGTTACATGGGGATTCTCCAGACTTTTAGTAACCATAGAAAATGTTACACGGGGATTCTCCAGACATTTACTAACCATAGAAAATGTTACATGGGGGTTCTCCAGACATTTAGTAAAAATAGGGAGAGAGAGAGAGACAGTTGTATCTTGATGATGTAAGTGGAGGAAGCAAAGAAAATGAAGAAGGGCCACAGTGGTGTTTTGATGAAAACTTCCATTGATTTATTTCAGCATATTTCTTTTACCTTTTTCCTGTTAAATTTCTCAGTTGTCACTGAGGTTATATAGATTTTCCTTTTAATGTGCTCAGACGTAATTATCTACATCTAATTTTTCTGATCAATGTAAACTTTGTTTTTTGAAAGACCGTCACATTCATTTTCTGTCTTTTCCTGATATTCCTTTTATTTTCCTAGAAAGCACATTGTCATCACCATTAGATTTTTGGGGGCATTTTTGCTTCATGTCCATTTTTCAGATTCACTCAATAGTGTAGATTCTGTACAGCACCTTAGACACACATTTCTCACTGTGGTGCCAGCTTTTTATTGGAAATAATATCACAGATCTGTTAAATGTGTTCTATGGACTGCAAGGGGTCAAATGACCAACAAATGGAAAACACTGCCTTAACATATGGTAATTTGTAGTGCCAGTTTGGCTTTCGTTTACTTTTTGTTGTTGTTGTCACTTGCCATTCTTGCAGCCCAGTCAGTGTGGCTGATTTACAGTCTTTGCTTACTTCTTTAAGTTGCTGAGCCTTTCTCAGGTCTTTCTGGTCCATTGTTTGTTCAGTTTCCCCAGTGTCTCTGCCAGCAAGCTTGTTAGCTTGTTTATTTTCTCTTACACCAACATACTCTGCTGGCCAAACAAAAAATTAACTGATTGTTGTCAGCGATGATCACCTCTGAGACTTAACCATGACCCCAGCCCATCTAGACCATCTTGAACATTCTCCCTCAGCAGGTATTGAAGGGTATCACATTGGTTGTGTACACATCTGGGTCTGGCTAAGATCTTTTTTTTTTGTTTCCTGATGCACCACTCAAGCAGCTGAACATAATGATTTCATTAACATGTGATTGTGTGTACACCCATTTGTTTGTTGAGACCTATGGCATGCAACTCACAATGTTTAGTACTTTGTTCAGCTTTTGCATGGCTTAACTCTCAGCACTGTACTGCACAGCACTTGAATTCTTTGGCATTTTATTGCACAGTTCCTTGCTACCACATGAAGCTTCTGAGAAATGTATGTTTCCAACCAGTCTTGTTAAGCCTGTTAACTGTGCACTGAGGTACCAAGACAGTGAAAATTAAGAAATATACACTTTGCATGGAATAATTAATGAATATCTAGAACTGAAAGGGTTAAAGAACTTAGAACTTTGTTTTCCTTCACCTTCAGATGCCTAAATTGCAAAATCTGCAAGAAAACATGGCTAGAGGGAAGAGACATCCAGTTCAGACCTCATTAGTTGGAGATTGTGTGGCTTTGATGTTTAGACTAGAATAATAAAAGTGGTCACACCAATAACCTTGTACCTTGAAGGTCATGGTTCATTTCATGCGTTCCTTTCACAGCTGCATTGTTTTGTTCAAGAGTGCAATTTTTATGGAGACCTCTATGGATCGTCACTAAAGCTATGTTGTTTGTGCTTTGTTTGATGCTCTTAGCAGATTTTTTGCCGCTGTTCTGCAGAAAGAGACTGAGCTGTATGGGAGAAAACCCAGTGCAGTGTAATGAAACCTTAAAAGTTTTTGAGACGCCATTTTTAGGACAGAAAAGATGAGAAAACACACAGATGCTAAAGACATATTGGTATCTTGACAACTGTTGAAGAATATGTAAACAAGTACTTAGCACACAGGAAATTCTTGCCAGCTGTTGAAGATTATACCCCAAAAACATGGGTTGTATTGATTGATCACAGTATGAATGAATCATTCAACCAGTCAGAAATTGACTTCATTGCACTTGGGACATTCCCACATGTAATTCGTTTGCTTTTTTTGGGGAAGTCTACCCCTAACCTTGAGCAGTCCCACCAGCTTGCAGAAGGAAAAGGGAGCCTCACCTTTCCAGTTGGTATAGTTTTACTCTGCAATTACAACTTGCTTCACTCAGATGTAAAAGTCTTTACTGTGTTTTAACAACAGTGAACTCTTCAAGTGACCTTGTGCCTAGCTAGTATTGACGGTCTAATCTCTGCATCAGTGATTATCCTATGTATCCAGAAGTGCTTGTCACAAATACACAAAATATGCAGCCATGGAGAGATATTATCATGACATCAGAAGAATACAGAAGATTCTAGTAAGGGCAGATGTTTGATGACTAGTCAAAAATACAGACATGATGAAATCACTGAGAAGTATTATCACTAACACTAGTAGTCATGGAAATCTTCTTCTTCTTCTTCTTCTTCTTTTTCTTTTAGTTTAGCTGTTGTAAACTCTGGCAGAAAGTTTTAGTTGTTTGTTAACCTCTAGAATTTGAGCTTTGCTTGCACATCCATTTTACAGATCCACCTTTTTTATATGCAGACTGTTGGTTCTTCACCTTCCTGGCAGAAACAAAATGTAAGGTTATAAATTTGATGATGTGAATTGTCATCTCTTCATTTTTCTGTGATAAATCATTTTCTTGAATCTTGAAAGCTGAACATGCGCGTAGGAAATCTCTAAAGACATAGCTAAATGTTGTTGATCTTATTCTTCATCCTCATTGTTGTCATCATCATCCTACTTCTTCTTCTTCCTGCCTCTCCTTTTTTATCTTCCTCCTCCCCCCCTTTCCCCCCCCTCCACACCTTAAAAAGGTCTTAAGGTGAGAATCCACTTCATTGCTCTGAGTTTATTCTATGGGCTCAGTCTCTACAGAGCCAGCTGAAAAGAGCATCACACACAACATCAACTCTGCAGCTCCAGGGATATCTGTAAAATGGCACTCATGAACTAAACCTTCCTGTTTCAAAATGAACTCCGACCTTTAAAGCACAAAACAAACAGTTTAGTCACTTCAGCACGGAGACCCCCCAGAGTTACCTCACTTGAACTGTAGGGAAGATAGGCACTTGTTCTATATATGTCCTTATAAGCCATAATAACAGTGTTATCATTTGTTCAGTATGTGACCTTGTAGGCCAAAATAACATTGTTATTTTTTGTCTTTCTGCAGAGACAATGTGATAACCTGTGTTTGAAGTTACACAAACCCAAGTTTGAGGTTAAACAATCAAAAATTGTTGACCTATGACCTTGTCTCCCGAGACCTTTTAAAATGCTCAGCTTTTATTGTTTGACAACCAACAGACGAGAGCTTGCTTCACTTCATTTTGTGCCGCGATATGTGATCTCGTTTGTGTGTACTTGTTCAGACAACAATGGACCTTAAAGTTGACTGAGATTGCTGTTCAAATGTTTTAACTTATTTATTGTTGTTTGTCTGTCATTACCAAGATATATGGATAGAACTATCTGTCAGTCTCAGAGTGGGTCTATGGGCGGCTAGTTCCACCAGATATTCCCAAAATGGGATATTCCCCCCCCCCCCTCCCCCCGGAAAATTGATGGGTGGAGACAATCTTAGCCACTTATGTTGTCATTGTATCGGATTTGCAAAGTATGGCTCAGGAAGGTGGAGTCAAGGTTTGTTCGTTGCGAATGGGTTCACATCCATCCAGACATTGCTTGTTGGTGAAAGACTCATGGCAGTTTGCCCTGAACTATGTAGGCGTGTTTGGGGATGAGCAGGCAGATAAGCTGGCTGAATTGGCACCACTTGAGGGTGTACTGCAACTACACAGGCAGAGGTGTTCTCATGCCTCTGAACAAGGTAACAAGAAAAATGGAAGATATTCTTTTTCTTCTTCGTGCTCACCAGCTGTACACTCTGGCAGAAAGTTCTTTTTGTTTGTCCACTTCTGAACTCTAGTCCTGCTCCAAAACCTGAGTGCTGCGTGTGCATCAGTTTTACAGATCTGATTCACCTGAATGCAGACTGTTGGTTCCTTGCCTCTCAGGCAGATGCACTCTGACTGTAAAGAAAGCTACCCAATTAGTCGACTCTTATGACATGCTTTTGGGTAGGCAGTGGGTCTATTCTTGTATTGAAAATCCATATCTAGAGAGAGGTGCAGCGAGGAGTGTCTGTGGGATCTGGGTGCTGCTTGAAACGTGATGGAAAAGTGAGTCAAGTAGTTATCTAAATGACAACGGATACCATCAGTACTGAGACTCTTTGCTGTCTGTTGAAGAGGGAGATGGTGCTAATGTAGGCTAGTCCTGAGTGTGATGACCAATCTTTAGCCAGATGAACCCACATTGTGTTTGCACTTGCACTGTATTTAGGACGACAAAATAGACTCTTGTTTACTATAAAGGGCATTAGGGAGGGAGTGTTTATCATGGAGGGGAAAAAAGGATTTGTCAAGTCATAATGACATCATAATTTGCTTCTAGGAATAAGGTCACTGTGTGAGTCACTAAAAACAATTTTTGGCCAAAGGGGATGTATCCCTTTTAATTCTTTGCCTATTCGTGTTTGATGATTACTCCCCTTAGTATATATTTCTGGAAACATTATAGACAATGTATGTAAGTACATTTTTTTAAATGTGTTAGTGACCTAGGTTTTTATTTATAAGGTTTTCCCCCTAAATTCTCTGGTTCCTGACATCCCCCCCCCCCTTTTTTTTTTTTCCTTCTGAGAAAGGATTAAATGAACAAACAGAAAGATTCTGTGACAAATTTGTGTTCTTTTTATATGTCCATTTCTTTCTGCGTCTTACTAAAAAAATATGTGAATAATGATGTTGTTGTAAATAAGACAAATTGAAGCTTGAAACTAATTTTTTTTTTAAATCAGCCATGGGGAAACTTGCATTACACAGATAATTAGGACAGTGAAGGCAAATATTCAAATAAACATGAATAACCTAACACTTGCATCTCAAGCAGTGGCAACAATACAGTCCTTACCAACACGCTGAAGATTTGTGGTTGAACGGCTAGTGCTGTCGCCACGACTGCAGGTGAGCATTTTATTAGCCCCCGATGAAAAAAATCTTCAGCCTTACCGAGAATTCAGTTCTACCCCTTGAAAAACCATCATTCTAACCATTTGGCCAGCCGCTTCTCAAGGAAAGTATTCACAAAATATAAATGAATCAAAGAAATTGTTTTCCTTCCCTTTGACAAAGAAAACTGTTGTTGTATAACACAACCACAATGAGCACAATGACATCATCATAAGTCTTTTATGAGGTCACAGTGAACCCAAAAAATTGATATTTTTTTTCATGCAAAATAATATGTTAAAAAAATATTTTTTTTATGTCTGATGTAATCATAGCCAACACGTCTATACATTATGCAGTTGCAGTCAGTACCACAGTTGTTATATTGGCCAGTACCCAAAGCCTTCATATATTCAGAAACCCATACAAGTCACAAAACTGACTTTCTCAGGCAACAAGGGTTAAGTGCAATACATACTAAGTTATGAAGAAGGTCAACAGAGACGCTATAAAAACACTATTTGGACTATAGAATGAATGGATGGAGAGTTTCATGATATGGAAAGAGTCAGATGAAGATTGAAATAAATAATTCTCTATGAGTTTCACAAGGAATGAGTCAAACGTCCGATGACCTACAGGAGAAAGCATAATTAAGCTAAATTTATGACCTTACAAGTGTTGAAGAGCAGTGCAGATAGAGACACCTTTGAAGAGCAGTGCAGATATTGACAGAGAGAACCGTAAGGATTATTGATCAAAAGAAATCACAGATAACTGATTTGATGACTATAATGTGGTCGGATGATGCAACCTTTGAACTTTTACACAGGAAATTCTGTATAGGTATCTTCTTCTTTGCAATCAGTTTCACCTGTTGATGTTATCAGCTGTTGATGTTATCATCTGTTGATGTTATCAGCTGTTCATGTTATCAGCTGTTGATGTTATCAGCTGTTGATGTTATCAGCTGTGTTCCCTCCATAAACTGGCATGTGAGCAGCAGGTTTCCAAAGTTGTTCCTGGATGCCTCTTCCCTCTAGCCATGTTTTCTTGTAGGGATAAGAAGGTCAAGGAAAACAGAGTTCAAAGTTCTTTAACCCTTTCAGTTCTAGACATTCAAAAATTATTCCACACATAGTGTATATTTCTTAATTTTCCTGTCACATTGTTCTATTTCATTAATCCATTATGCCCTATGTGTTGCTTTAAAATACTTCTGCCCCTTGACTACAAAGACACCACTTATATACACAGAGTGTGAGATTGAATGTATGAAAATAATAACTGCCGGGGGCTGAAAAGGTTATAAAAACATAAGATCAGCTTCTAACAGTGCCTTTAAAAAAAGCATAAAACTCATATTTTTGTTTTGTTGTGTTAACAGTATTCATGTTTTTATAGTCATAAGTATTACTGTCATTGCCATATATCATACAGATGTACAGTTAACTGAAGTCAAAAGTTCAAGATGCCTGTGTTGTTGACTAGAACACATGTGTTGTATGAGAGACATTCTTTGTGTATCATGACAAGACTGTGCTCCAACCAATGTGTACCCAGAAGAGCAGGAATGCCAGCAGTGTGCTTTCTGCTGAAGCACAAATGCCTGCGTTGGTTGGCACTCGTCTCCCACAGGGAGGTCGGTCGTATTCCAGAGGGTCTCCTGCATGATTGACTGGAAACAGGGAACAAGCCAGTTGGAAGGCCACAGCCTGTCTATAATTACATATGCAAACATGACCTAAAAGATGCCATCGTAGACACAGACACTTTGGAGAGATCAGCTGGAGATGGAAGATGGACCGCGTCATACTTGGCAAGAGGACTGATGCAGCCAGCTACAGAGAAGACTTCTGAGAGAAACCCAGTGTCGGTCTAATAGAGTGTCAAGGTGTTTATGTAGGATATGTGGAGAGACTGCCACTCCTGCATTGTTACACTCATAGCAGACGCTATCCCCTAAACCAGCGGCAGACTTCTATAGTCCCTAGTACTCAGCCCTTCATCAATTCAAGTATTTAATCAGACATGAATGAAAGTCAAGCCTATACAAATTACAATCAGGCATCCTGCACAAATGAAAGTTTTCAGTCCTACAGAGCATAACTTTTGCTTTTTATTTATGGATTATTGAAAATGGCATTTTGCTGTTCTTTTTGTTATGTTCTCTTGACTTGTGTGTTCTTATTTAATTGTTGACTTTAACTTGTACATTATGTGTATGTGTGTGTTTGCTCTGCTTGTGTAGTTGGTGTTGGTCACAATGCATCTGTATATCTGAGATGAGTTGGTTAATGTGTGGGGTAAGTGGCTTAATGTACAGGGCATGTGGTTGAATGAATTTTGGGTAAGTGGGTTATTGTATAGTTGAAGTTATCAGAAAGTGTTCGGCACAATAGGTACTAAAATTTTTTTTTTTTTTCAGTTTGTTAAAATGGATTGTAAATATGGCACTAATCTTCTTTTGCTCCTTCACCTTCGGTAAAAGATGACCTTTTAGCAGCGGGAGGCTAATGTGTATTTTTGGGTGGGGAATCTGAGCACATCCAGTCATGTCTGGATTGCCATGAGGATAACCCAACTCAGAAACCAGATACTGGTGAAACAGGGAAAGACATTTGTGCCGACCCTCTTCACCTTGTAGTTTGACCTTAGTATATGTTAGGCCCAACACTTCACGGGGGTGTATTTGCCATGGTGTTACTGTGAGTGAGCCATGTTGAATCCCACAAAGAACGCACATTGAGCGCCCACCACCTGGTAAGTGCAGTCTGTTATTACTTAGAGGAAAATCCCCCTCCTTAAAATCTCAGAAACCCTCTTTGACCGTAAGGTTATATTGGGGCTCCTGATGGTTACAAACTAACCTGAGGTCCAAACTGGACAGGATGATAAGTGTGGGATACTGTTACCTGAGTACCCTGGTTACGGTAGTGCTGGCAGCAATGACTTTAATGAGAAATTGTACATCCATATTTTGAGAAGGTTATGTTGATTTGAGCCCAGAGAGGTCTACCTGTGTGGGTCCTGGCACCCCATTTTTTTAAGTGGGGGGTGGAGAATTAAACCCAGACAACCTGCTCATTACCCAAGATGTTGTATAAGGCTACTAATTAAGGATTTATTTGAATTAGCTGTGTTGGGCAGAAGGTTGCAGATAACACAGCCTAGCTGTAAACCAC